TCTTTCTTTCTTTCTTTCTTTCTTTCTTTCTTGTGTGATTTAGATACTATATTTGATTTGTTTATTATTTCTGAGGGGGAGTTTGCTCATTGATGTCTTCCCATTATTAGCCACTCAGAGCCTTTTGGTAGTGTACAAATAAAGTAAATAATATGAATTACTATAAATAAATAACATTATTTACATTCATCAAAACTTTATTTGCCGGGAGAGGGGGGTGAAATGACTCCAAAGCAATTTCTCTTCCATCCAAATAAACTGAATAAAAATGGTTTAAAAACACACACACGCACACAGAAGACAGATTTGGCCAAACAGACTGGCAATGGCTCTGTTAAATTTCAAATGAAGATCGTTCTTAGTCTTACTGGGGGGAAGGAGGCATTGTTAGCCTGAAACTCTTTGCATGCAAAGTAAATATTCTCCCACTAGCATAATGATAGAAGCATAGAAAACTTTCTTATGTTGATGTCTGCCAACAACACTCCAGGTTTTCAGATAGAGTGGATTGGCCCAATTCATGATACAGGTGGGATACTTTCACCTTAAAAAAAAAAGAAGGAAGAATTACTAATTCAAAACTACTTATCACCAAAAAAACCCCATATACAGTAGGTGGAAAAACTGCATTTAGACAGAGTAGTGATGTTGATCCTCCATGTATAGAAGTAGTATGCCACTATGTAGCAGACCCTGAAAACAAAATTGGACAAACCCATCATTTCTCCACTCTTCTTGTAAACTTTCCGGGATAAACGGGCCACTGGCAGAAGCAGAATGCTGATCTTGGCAGACAATCGGTCTAAATTCAGCAAGTCGGTTCAAGCGTATCTCCTCTGAAGCTCCAGCCAAGAAGCCCTGATTCCTTTATTAGGATCACTAAAAAGTCTGACTTTAAATCTTTGTTTTGTTTTCTCAGGGTTGGCGGCCTATTTCTTTCAACAGCCCATGGATCAAGTGATTGTGTCTGGTCAATCAGTGACATTGGCATGCGTGATCATGGGCTACCATGGCATGGTTCAGTGGACCAAGGACGGACTGGCCTTAGGAGGAGAGAGAGACTTACCTGGTACATTCATCACACTGTTAAGAGGGACATGGTAGATGATTGGAGAAAGGACACCTGTAGACTTTATTAGCAGAAATACTGGTCTACCACAAACTGCAATACAGGTGGTCCTTGCTTAACGACCACAATAGGGACTGAAAATTTGGTTGTTAAGTGGGGCAGTTATTAAGCAACGTGGACCTGATTTTACAACCTTTTTTGCAGCAGTCGTTAAGCAAGTCACCATGGTCATTAAGCAAATCACGTAGTTCCCCTTTGATTTGCTTGCCAGAAGCCGGCTGGGAAGGTCGCAAATGACAATCACGTGAACCTGGGACGCTGCAACCATCGTAACTGCGAGCTGGTTGCCAAGTGCCCAGATGGTGACCACATGACTGCAGGGATGCTGGGATGGTCGTAATTTCGGGCACCAGTCATAAGTCAGTTTTTGAGCTCTGTTGTAACTTTGGTCACTAAACAAATGGTTGTTAAGCAAGGACTACGTGTAACTGTTGATCTTGGTCGTAACCCAACATCATCCTGGGTGATGCAAAACTGAATTTTTCAGTCCTAGTCTCCTCCTTGACCTTATCCTATCCCTTTCTCCACAGGCTGGTCCCGCTATTCTATTGTAGGAGACGCCTCTGCTGGTCAGCACAACTTGCGCATTGACTATGCTGAACTAGACGACGATGCTGTTTACGAGTGCCAAGCCACACAAGCTGCACTGCGCTCCCAACGAGCCAAACTTACTGTGCTTAGTGAGTTCCCTTCTATCTTCCTATTTTGTTGGTGGGACCATCCCAGTGTTTCAGAACCCCCAATTTGTCCCCACTCCAAAAGCAACCCCAGCTAATACACAGTGAAAGAGGCTCAAAAGTTCATGCCTCTCATTTTGTTTGCCAGGGTCCCTTGTTGACTCTTCTGGCTGATCTCTCCATGAGAGTATTCTGGCAGATTAAAATGAGCTATGAGGAAAAGGATATGGTTTGGTGTGGAAGATGATCCCTGCAGACTCATGGTGGCTTTCAGAGAAAGCTGGGCCATACACATGTTAAATCTTGGAATCATTTCCACTGATAAAGATAACTTGGAAAATTTGTATGGGACAGAAAATGTGGTCTGAGGATCCCTGGGGGTCCCCCAAGACCCTCTCAGGGGTCCATGAAATCAAAATTATTTGCTAGATATTGAAAATACTTGCAAAAATTTAAAACAATGTCACTCTTCTCATTACAGGTAGTCCTTGTTTAGCCCCCACAATTGGGACTGGCAACTCAGTCTTTAGACAAAGCAGTTGCTAAGTGAAACTGTGACTGTGCTTACGATCTTTCTCCAACTTTCCTTTGCTTTACAGACCTACAAAGGTCATAAATGTGAGGACTGGTCATAAAGTTACTTTTTCATCACCGTCATAACTGCAAATGGTCACTAAACAAGGCAGTTGCTAAACAAGGACTACCTGAATTATTTTTTGTCAAAATATTTCTTTTATTTGTTAAAAAGGGGTTTTTCATGAAAAATATTTTATTTATGTTAATATCTAATGGGTTTT